CTCCAGGCGTGTTTCCTGTGTGTAAGCACACTGTGGTCATCCCAGACTTCTATGGAGGACTGGATTTTATCCAAACTATGTGTGCAAGGCCTGACCTTGACCTGTAAATTTAATTCCTACGACAAAGGAGACATTTGGTGCTGTTTGCTTGGCTGTCTCTCCAGCTGCTTCTCCATTGCAACAAAGGCAGTTTGATGACTGCAACTGAAAAAACACTTTTGGCTACTGAAAGGGAACCTTAAGATTATACCATGCCTTGGTGAGACACATGAAAATATTTCCTTCTTTCCTTAGGGTTTATGCCCTAGTTAGGAGGGAGAAAGGAGGGAATTAACACAGAGATTAATGTAGTAGAATATCACTTTTTACTCAATTACTCTACACTGGAGTCAGATTCCTAGGAACAGAAAACAAAGATATTAACCCAGAGCCAAAAGTATCTTCTAAACTGAGCCACCCAACCTCTGGCATGGCCAGACCAAGTAGGGACAGAGAAGGACAAGAAACCAAAAATATTTTCTCTTACTTTTTCTTAGAGAAAAATAAACAAAGTGACTGCACTAGATTAATTTAGTCAAAGGGGTTCACATTCATATTCTCCTCAAAGTAAGTTGATTACCTGTGCATACAAGTTTCATAACAACCAGCAGAGGAGAAAGGAAAGGCACCAGAAAAGTTCCAGGTCCAAAATAGTCACAGCTGGATAATATAAGGGCTCTTTACGTCATTTCATAGATTCTGCTAATGGGTGGAAGGAAAAAAAGTAAAAGACTCTTATTTAAAAAAAAAGAAAATAAATAAAAAATTAAAAATTGGAGATAGAAGGGTACACTTAAAATTTCCAGCCACAAGCAGTCCAGTTCAGTTTTACTTTCAGTCTGCAATTACCTAAGACCTTATCTCATTTATATGGTAATAACTTGTCTCACGTTGGCTCAACAAGCAGAGAGAGCTCCGCCGGCTCCTCCAGCGCTCTGGCCGCAGCTCCCGGCGTGGGTGGCCGGTCCTGCGGGCTCACAGTGCCCACCAGCATCGCCAGCAGCCTGCACAGCCAGGGCTTCCTCCTCCCTGGGCACTCAGAAAACATTCTGAGAGGTAATTGTTTGCTCGAGGAAGAGGAGACTTGCTGCGGCAGTTTGGAATGAGCTGCGCCTCAATAAGGAGCGGCAAAACTCATGGCAAGGTTCAGAAATTATTCCTGGGTGATTATTACAGCCATAAAGCTGTGTTTTCTTTAAATTCTAATTAAATCTAGACAAAGTGAGGAAAAATAAGTCAAAACTAATCTAGACGTTAATGAGAGGTAAAGGCTTTGGTCTTTTGCAATTTCAAAGGTAATTACTAAGGGATGTCTTATCCCCTCACCACAGCTGAGGAGGAGCACGGAGACCTCTGGATTCCAACTAATCCTATGTTCTCAGATAAAATGAATGTTAGGCAGGTAGAAAACTAGCAAACATCAAGACAGAACAAGGAGCTTGAATAAAAGCAGTCCATATAGATAACAAGCCCCACCATGATTCTCCTTCCTGACAGTTCAGCTACTCTAACGAGGCCTTTCTCAAATAAATTTACTGTAGGCTTGCCCATTACTCATTTTGGGGCACAACAGAAAATTTCCTTTTAGCAAGTAATTTCCCATCACAAACTAGGCAGTGAGGTGTGGTGATTGTATGTGCTAGAACTCTGATCACGTCACAGTGGGTTGTGTTTTACCGACTGCAATCATCAAGTACAGACCTCCAGCCCACCCAGGACAGAAAAGGTTTGATTTAAGGTGAGGGGTTTCATCACAGTGTATCTTTAATGAAAACCAGGCAGCAGATGGTTTGCTGGCATTGCTTTTTAAAAGGGTTCTGTGCCTCTCACTAGAAAAAAAAGTGTATTTTGAAGGCAATTTAGGGACAAGAAGACAACTAATGTAATTTGTGAGAAAAGGAATCAGAAGGGAAGACCAGGCTTTGGCTTGTACCCCTGTAATATTACACATTATGCTGCTTGTTTCTCTTCCAGATGAGACAGGTGGACTTGAGAAGGATCAGGTCTCTGCCCCTCTCATTCTCTGCAGGTTACAGGAAGGTGAAGCTTGCTCAGAGCACACTGTTGATGGACCACTGGAAGTTGCTGTTTTAGAAACACTGACTTAAAATGCTTTGCATTCAGAACAGTGAGTTTTATGTGGAATTTATGTACTGTATTTAAATGCAACAAGCAATTTGTACTGAATGCAATTATATACTTAGGATTGCAAATGCAAAACAGAGGATCAATGTGTCTGAGGTCTGTGTTATCCTTTTATACAGAGACTGTTTCACACAAATGCCTAAATCCCTACCACATCATGGTGACCCCTGAGCCCCATAGTCTGGAGTCTTTAAGATGACACTTAAGAGTTCCTGACCACCAGAAAGGGTTAGCTTTGCCCCACTTAAATCTCTAAAAGTGTCCCTTTAGCCACAGGTGCTTCAAATGCATGGTAAGAATATAAAATTAAGGTTAGCAGTTCAGCAAGGCTCTCGTTTCTCCAGAAGAGAAGCTCTGCCCACCATCACAGCAATAACAAAACCCATCTATTTCCACTCCAGAAAAACTAATCCTAACCCCTAATCTCAGTCATGAAGTGCTGGATCATGGACTGCTGAACTGGCACACAGGAAACTAAATGGCAGAGGCACAGGCAGAGAGGATGGAGATACTTCAGTGAAGCACTGGTATTAAGATGCAAGCCATCAAAAGAGAAGTCAGATCTGGACCATCAGAAGCAGCCTTGAGAGAAATATGTGAATAGCAGACTACATAAATTGTTCCTTAGCTGATACAAGCAGAGCTGGGTTTGTAGGCACAGGTCAGGAGATTTGGCTGTTAACTCTAAACACAGAGGATTCAGTCTTCTGCCAGCTCAGGAGCCAGAGAAAGGTTTTTGATAGTGAGCAATTGCAAGTTATATCATCTTTTAAAAAGTAAAAATATAACATACAGAGGCATAAAACCTGTTATCAGCTGAGAACAACAGCATCAGTAATGAATTCTCACTATTAATAAATCCTGCCTCCAGAGCTTCTCCAGAAAGCTTATAAACATTTCACTGTGTTCTGTTCTGAGAAGTAATCCAAAAGAAGACTGAAAATCTTGAGGAAATGTAAAGGAGCTGTTTGAAGTGTAAGATTTTGAAATGCTAATAGCTTTAAGGAAGCATTAGCACTGTTTATCTCCAATTGCACCAGGAGCAGAATATCCAGGAGGGTGATTTAATGAGCAAGACATACAGTGTCTATTAAATGCTTCTCAAGCATAGTAGGATAAAATTCCAAAGCCACTGAAACCATGACAGGACAGCCTTAAAAAGAAGGAAAATTGGAATTTCCTCCCCCTTCAGTGGAATTCAATGGAATTCAATGGAATTCCCCCACCTTCCATCATCCAACATGGATAAATTCAAGCCTAAAATACCACACCCCATGTCTGCATAAGGTAATCTCATATCACAGATAACATCTTGCTTCTGATACCTGCAGCACAAAACAAAAAAACCACACACTCAGGGCAGAACAAAAATCCAAGACAGGCATCTGGGAAGTTAAAAAACAGTTAGAGGAAACCTCATTTGAAGTTGTAATGAACAACCTAGTCTCTAAAGGCTTTAAATGAATATCTTCAAACACACTAGTAAACATTTTAAATATGTATTCACAGTCCAGTTGGATTCTAATGCTCCTCTGACGAATAAAGCTGATTCTCCTTCTCAGTAAATAATTCAGTAGCAAAGAATTGCTTGGCCTGGAAAAGGGATGAACAATGGGCCAAGACTTAAGATCGTTGCTCTTTCCTGAGAGATTTTGGCCTCAATTTTGACTTTGTGCGTAGAGGTTGCTGCAGAAGAGGAAGTCACACAAATAGTGTTTGTATTCATAACTGCAGTTTAATATCCATTTTTTTTCTGACCTTTATTCTTTTAGTGGAAGAAGAAAGAGTTGATGGCATGAAAAGAGAACCAAGAAACATATTTTATATAAGCTCCTGCTACAGGAGAGTGATTTTCGTATTCAAGGACAAAGTGCAGTTCTGTTCTACCTGTTGTCAGGTACATTCATCTTGTGGTACAGTGTTGCTGGTATTAGAGACTTGGGAGTGCAGGGTACCCAGGAACTTCATCTAGAGCAGGATCCAGAAAGCAAATTACTATTATTCTGTGTTTCCAAGCGGGGTTTTATGTTTATTTAATGTTAACACAAAGGTACAGCTAAGTACTGAAGAGCAATCTGATTAGGAGTGAGGGTAAGAGTAATAAAGCACTCCTAAAAACCAGGCAACTCCAGTTTCCTCCCTGCTAAAAGTAAGTCTTTTTAAACCAGAGACTTTAAAGGAGACTAAAACCTTTCCCAGGTTAATTCCATTAACTCTACATAGATCAAGAAAAGACTACAGTGAGTCTGAAGCAGTGACAAGGTAGAAACCTTTTGGTATGCACCTGAGCCTTCCTTTCCAAGCAGCAAAATTCCAACCCAACAAGCTTCTCTGAAAAATTGAGATATTCACAGGCGTTTGCAAATTATTAGCACAAGATCCTGCAAAGTACAAAAGCCACCCTGGGAGACCCACTGCTTAGATAAAAAATACAAAAAGAGGAGTTCTAACAGAAATGAGGTGTACAGAGGCATGTTTAAAGACTGGCAACTTTTAGCAGCCAATCTGGTGCTCTGCTTTAAATCTTCCCAAAAAAATGAAGCTTTGTGTACCTCTAAAGTTAGGAGGAATCCTAAAGACTAGATACACTAGTGCCTCACCTCATTCATCTGCCATTTCTTTCAAGTTTAGGTGTGTTTGGATCCAGCTTGTTTCTAGACAACTTCAGGAAAACCTTATTTCTATACATTATTTTCCACAAATAATTCTTTTTAAAAAAGAGCAAACAAAAAAGTTATTTCTGTATTATTTCACAAAGACTCCTCCTCGTAAGTCAGAAAACTAGACATACACAAAACTACATATGTATAACTGACCTTTTCTGTTTTGAACTTTATCCATGAAAGTTTGTTTAGCTGCATGAACAAATCTTCATGGGCGACTCCCTTCGGACTGTGATCTTGGCACTAGAAACAAGGAGTGACAACACAACAAAATGTTTCAATCTGGAGATAATGCTAGCATCTTAAAGTATAAGACAGATCAGTTCACAAACTGCAAGTGCAAAATAAACTACAGGGAAAAAAAAGTAAATGAAAGCAGCAATCACTAGACAGTGTCTTTAAATGGACAGTTTTGCACAAAGACTGAGTGCAATTACTCACAGTTGCATTTTGTATATCCTCAGTTAAATCCCAGGAGAATCAGCCATCTGTAAAGCCCCCAACTGACAACTTCTGTCCCTAACATTTCCCCTTTATCCCAGCCCCACATCACACCAGCAGCAGGTGGGTTGTGCCTGTCTCTTAGGGACTAGAGTTTGCTCCAGACCAGAACCATCAAATTCTGCCCCACTCACTGCATTTGGGTGCATCCCCTCAGGTTTCCCCTGACACAAAGCAGAGTCACACAGCCCAGGCAATGCAACACAGCTGCCTTGAGCCTGCAGAAGGGCTTCACACCAGCTGAACCTTCATCCTGGCTCCTCCTTGGCAGGCAGCAGCAACCTGCTCTCATGTTCTGGCCCTTGTCACTGTCAGGATGCTGGGAAGGGCTGCTCCTTCCTGCCCTAGGGTGGGCTAGTTTTGTCTCTTCTAGAGTGTTCCTACAGCCAGCATCTCCTGGGGAGCAGAACATGGACAGATGGGCAAGGGCAGAGAGCAACACAAAGAAGGTGTCCCATGCTCAAAACACAAAATGGTTTCAGGCTTTTTCTTGCTTAACACTCTTATTAAATAATAGCTGTATAGCATCTCACACACACTTTTGGTTTAGTTTGAGTTTTTTGTTTTGGTTGTGGGGTTTTTTTGTTTTGTTTTTTTTCCATATTGTTTGATTTTGTATTTTACTTAGGCTGTGCCCCAAGAAATGCTGGCTGTTCAGCTGGACCTTCCTTGTGTGTTGGGGGGACAGAGTGACAGACATGGTGTTGGGATACCAAAGGCACATGTTCCTTTCCTATCTATTTTTATAAAGTACAGGCTCAGGAAGATTTTTTTTTTTTTTCTTTTTTTTGAGGGGACGAACACTTCTGCAAAATTTCTTGCTGGAACTTCTTATACAAAACAGAGAAATCCCATCTGGATACTGCATGCAAGAGCTCACAACAAAAGAGAGGCACAGAGGGGCTTATGGAGGTGATCAGAGGAGCATTTTCTCATGACAGAAGGCTGGAAATCTTGTGCACAGTAAAACATTGACTGAAAGAGGAGACAATTGCAGTCTGTAAGGCATCCAAGAACTAACTACCATGACAGGAAAAGAACTATATAATTTAATAGAGATATTTAGATAAAGATATTGCATGAAAACCTGCCACAATCACATCTATCCTGTAAACTAGAAGAATTCCAGCTATTAGAAGGATGAAGCTGGGGAACTCTCTTCCCAAAAGCCATATTTTACAAAAGTAAAATAAGCCCCAAAAAATTAAGGCCTCAAATTCATACATAAGGTTTGTGTCAGAGAAGGGAATCAGATACTGCAGACTTAAACGCCAGGCCAGGTTCCCTAAAACAAAAATCAATATTCTGATCAGTGAGGGTCAAATGTGTGGAAAAGAAGGTTTTCTGGGTCAAATTTTGCAATCCAGTGTATGTGAAGTGAGAAAATAAAACTAATGTGAGAAAATAGATTAGGTTTTTCTAATATAAATAAACTGTTAATAAATAATAAATAAATTGTTAGTGGTAAATCAGTGCCACTAATCTTTGGAATGATTAAAAAAATATTTTTCTTTGAGGAAAATATTTACATTTCTGACACAGCATTACCATAGGATGCTACAGAATTAATCAAGATGGTTTTAGGCAGTTTTTTTCCTCCTTTTGCATGACAAGGTAAACAATTTATTGATAACTCAGTGCATATGTTCTTCTGGGTTCGGTTTTTTTTTCCTTTTAAATTTAATTTTTGGAATTATCAATACAGTCATGTCCTCAGGGACATGGGTTGGGATTTCTTTTCCTTTTAAATTTAATTTTTGGAATTACCAATACAGTCATGTCCTCAGGGAATAACATCCATGATTGTAAAGCTCAGTTATAAGCAAAAAGGCTTAGACACTTCTCTTTCTTCTGAACTCCTTTTGATTTGGGATTATCACCTGAGTGTAATCTATTTTTTTCCTCACATAGTGCTTGTCAATCTGTAGACCTTCATTTTTCATTCTCAGTGCCAGAAGAGATCAATGAGGATTTCTCTTGCAGGATTCCCAAGGGTGTTTCCCCTATCAGTTTCATTGCCAGAACTATTTTATGTCAAGCCCTATACACTGCTTGCTTCATCAGATTTCTCTAAACCCTAATTCCAATACCAAAATCCCACATTTATCCTTTCCCAGTTAATCCTCAGATGCTCAGTTTATGCAAACAGAGAGATCTTTTTGCTGTTCAGGAGTAGGAGTGGTGTTTGTTTGGCTGCTCAGGTCCCCATTGCCTCACCCCAGCCTGGGACCAGGGATGGTGTTCCTGCTATAAACATGTTGTCAGCAGGGAAATGGTGACACAGGGTCACACACTCTCCTCACTGTTCCCTCGTGCTCACGAGGATGTGTGTCCCCTGTCTTGGGAACCTGGATTCCCAAACAATATTAAAAATGCAGTCACAGCCTTCTTTTCCCCCTGGCTTACATGAGGCAGAATGTCTCACATTTTGGGTATCCCTCCTCAGTAAAATGTCACCATTCTTAGTTTCTGATCCACACTCCAGTTAGAAAGTCATCTTTGGTAACAGCAAGTGCTCTCATCTTGAACTCCTACAACTGGAACCAGAGTGCACTCAATTTACCCAGTCAACAACATGCTGGACAGTACTTGAAGGAGAAGCAGGAGGACATGCAGGAATCTTTTACAGAAAAGGTTGGGCACAACCATGCTATTTACATTCCTGCTTCTCTGCAGGCATTTCTGTTCTCTGTCAATTACTTTCAGCAGCATTTCCTTCTTTCCACAGGAGCTTGGTCTGAATTATGCTATGTTACCACTTTTTCTCTTGTTTCAAACAACAAAATCCTTCATTTTCCTTTTTTCCAGTAAAATTGAAAGATCAGTTTCTCACATAAAGTCAGTGAGATTGGAATGGAAATTCCCCAACACAATGCAGTCTTAAAGATATGCAGGGATGAAGAGGTGAGGGTTATTCCTTTCTCACGAGTTGATGTGTTCTCCTGTCTCCCTGGGGAGAGACTGTACAACTTCTCTCTCTCTCTGCTTGTCTATCAAAGTGCTGCCATTAACATCCAAATGTCTTGCCTCATCCCCTGTGAGCTCCAATGAGTTAATAACCAGAGCAGCTTTGCAGAGAAAAGCAGCTAAGAAGAAATACATCAGTAAAATTTAAGGGCTTATTTATTGGTGTGAGGCATGGAAACATTGCTGTATGATTTTCACAGCACCTCCCTGCATCACTGTAAACATATACACATGTATTTCTGCCTAAATATCTTCAGAGAGCTGGGGCAGAAAGGTCTGAGTATGTCTTGCAGTAAGTTCTTAGGTGATCTGGGGCATTTCCTGATACAACAATGCTGAACTTGGACTTTACAAATCAACATGGGGCACTCTCAGGAACCTTTGCACGCTGTACTGTTTGGTCCCAGCAGGTGACAGAAGCTACTGGGAAGTGCTTAGGGCCTCCTGTGCAGAATGTGGAGCATCTTCTGGAGAAACAGACTGCCCTGGGAGGTACAGGACTTGTGTGTGCATGTGATGGCAGGAGGGACAGCAGGAGCTTCTTGCCAAGGCACAAAGGTGAGGGAGAGCCCCACAGGCTCTGCCAGCCCCTGGGTCCCCCAGGCTGTGAGGGTGCTGTTCTCACAGGTGCACTGTGCAGGTGTGGAGGCAAATTTCACATCTCTGCCTGCAAAACCCGCTGTGATGCTGGTGCAGTGCCACAGAGGCAGAGCTCCACTGCTCAGCTTGGACTGAGAATTAAATGCTGTGCTGGGAGCTGCCACTGGGCACGCTGAGCTGTCACTCTTCACAGGGCTTGGTTGTGTAAGCGGAACAAGGGAATCACTAAACCACAGACAATGAAAACAATTTTAAATGAGAGACTAAATGAAAGGAAAAAAGTTGTCAAAATGTCAAGGTTAATGTTTTCATAAAACTAACCTGGGAATGGCTAGACAGTGTAAGTGTAAACTTTAATTAAAAGTTTTAAAGTGTGAATACAAAACTACCTTCAGTCTAGACAGTCAATAAATCTATCCTCCTTAAGGAAATACTGGTTCTTTTGGTATTTCTGGTCAATTTTCATCCTCATCCTTGCAACTATGTGTAACATTAATACTCAGATCCCTGTCTATCAAAAGCAGAGGAGCCCTGCAGAGCAGGACCACAGCCTTCTGCTTGGCTCCAGCTCTATGTGCCCCTGACCCCTGGCTGGGCCAGTGGTTCTGGCTACAGCTCTGGGATGGGCAGCAGCCTCTGGACACACACAGCAAGTTGGGGACTGATACATCTCTGCTCTCACCCCTTTGCTGGACCACGATGGTTTCTGCAGAGGATGTCAGAGGCAGTTTCCTCTGTCTGCAGAGTGCCTGGGATCTTGAAGCAGCCTGGAGGAAAAGCATTTCTATGTCTTACAGCCTGGCACAGCTATTTGGACAGCAGAGATGGCAGAAATGGAGTCTGCAGTGCCTCTGAAAAAGCCTGACCCCAACATGTCTCCAGCAGATTTTAAGAGATCATTCTGAAGAGCTCTGGGATCTTTTCTTGCATTTTGTTGTTATGTTTCTTGCATTATGCTGTATCGGCATCAACAAACAGAGTTAGAGTTTTCTATAAATTATCATTCAATGTTCTTGGAATAAAATTACATTTTAATTGTTTTTAAAAAATGAAAGAGAAATTGCAAAACTTTCCATGATCTCAAATTGTTTGGTTATTACTGGTTTAGTGCGTACCGTATTTTATATACTATGGTTCCAAGTGAATTTTACAAGGAATGTATGTGCTATCTGAAG